ATATGTGTAGCGTATTATTCATTCCGATTTTTACGCGCGAAATTGTGTGAAAATATATCATGTTCGGAAGTAGTGTTTGTTAAAATATATTGATATTCTTTTCAAAAATCAATTATTATAACATGACTAAAATAATTTTACGGACCTCCGAGAAACCCCAACCCTGATCGACATCAGTAGACCAGCAGGTGCACCAATCATTAACCCAGAGGAATTAAAAGGGCCTATATGTAGTATATCTGTTAAATATATTCACAAATTGATTCATTGCTTAGTATGTAAATGTTACTGCATAAAGAACTGTCATCCGTCCTGATAAAATCTAATAATAATTAAGGTTTGATGAAATCAATTTGCATTCATGTTTCATTAATAAGCTCTAACATTATTTATACAGTGTTTAAACACGACGTGGGACGAATCGAACCGCGTAATGATTTCAATTTAAAAGTGACTGTCACAGTGCTGTTAACCATTTTTGTATTCTTTGCGTGCTTCAGTATCATACTAAAACACCATTGAGGATATTCTAATCAACTAATGAAGGTTCAAACTCATGTGAAACCGAGTATATTACCTAACTGCTGTGAAAAAATACTGTAATGGTCTTTGTATGTTTTTAATTAGATTGACAGAGCCTATAAAACAGGAAAGTCTGAGTAATTAGCCAATGACATTTTCTTCGATTTTCACTGAAATAACAATTATTTCGAATTATTAAACCAACTATGACAGTTATTGAACATGACGTCTGATTTTTTTAATGATCCAAACGATGTTATAGGTAGCAGTGATTTAAATAAGGTGCAACATTATACGCCAAAATATTGATAAAAAGAGGCAAACGGGATAGAATCACAATGAATAATCCTGAGCTAGCATATATAAACAGTTGAGAAGATGGTTGTATTTTGAAACAAACCCTGTATGGAAGCTCACAAATGTAAAATGTCATCTTGGTATTCTAGTAATCTATGTGTTCTAAAATGTCTTGATGCTGATATAGAAAAGGTTGAAAATGAAACTATTAAAAATGTTTTAATTAGCGGATATAAGCTGTACAGGTCAATGTTGCAGCAGCTATTAAAAGACTGGCATATTTGCAAAATGTTGGTTTCAGGATTTTTTTTATCTTTTTAACCATATATCCAACTTTTATCAAACTTGCTTTGATAATGCCATATGGGATAGAAAAGATTTAAGGGTTAATATGATAGCACAACATTTCAATTCTAATACAATATATGACCTGTATATTCATAAACTGAATATATATCCTGCAAACAGTATTTCTATAATATTCACTTATTTTGAATGGTACATCCATTTTGGATGTTTTGTGTTGTAAAAGTCATATAACGTCAGGAAGGAAGGAATTTGAAGCAATCTGTTTTAAAACGATCATATACCAGGTTTCCGAATTTAAGTTTGCCGGAAAAAATAAATTGAAGTACCCTTTTCTCAGCAGCATCGCACCTAGTAATATCAAGGATATCCAAACCTCCCTGATATAAGCAATATTCTATGGCTTCATATATTGTAAAAGTAACGTCTTTACATCACAAATGTCCCAGACTAATTCAGATGTCGAAATCAAATCTATATCGATGATGACATTAGACACCCATTTTTTCGATATCGCAACAACAGTTTGGGAGACAATGGTTATCTATCGAAATGACATGTGTAGAGGGAAATCTATTTTATCAAAATTTAAAACGAAGCATAAGCATTTGCTCATATAAATAACATTAAAGTTAAAAAAAAACCTGTATAGACTATAAAGTATCTGAATATTTTTATTGCGTGCTCGTAATTTTCTTCCGTGGCATGGTTTTTAACTGAAAAAGAGTTAACACGTGTAGTCTAAAACGTTTTACAATGATCTAATCTTCTGGAAAAGAGGTCTTGGGTATTACTTTATCATTATTATTGTTTGAGATATAGGACTAAAGTCGTCAAGCTAAGTTTTATAGCCTAAGCGTTTACTTGGGAAACTCATTATACCATGAATATTAAAATAATAATTTGTTATCGTAAAAAGTTAATAAAACTTTTATAAAGTATACCAATGTCAGTGAGCATGACGCATATATACTCACCTCGAGTTCTATATGCAATGGGTTAAGTCCACGGCAAGCTCATATCTATAATTGGTATTTGCTGTTCCTCCGCTAAGCACGCAGCATCGAAAAGTACAAACAAAGACTGGTTGGTCAATTGAAAATAATGAATTCGGTTCAGGTGACACGTCTTCGTGTGGACTGTTTAACATTCGACTCGGTGTTTCAATCTTGTACAGGATATCAGAATTCATATTCGTATCTGTTTAAGATGTTCCTGATTTTGAATATGTATGTAATGTTTGTTACTGGACGTCAACACATGCATTCATCATTCCATTAACGACCCGTTCTTCTGTAATAACGTGTATATTATTACATGTAACAATCGAGACTTAAGGCTAAGAAAGCAAAGTATATACAATGTATAGGAGTATAAAATCAAAAGTAATCTAAAACAGTTTAAGGTCAAATGAAAATAACAATTTATTTCTGAATTATATGCTTTTTAGATTTTCTTTATCAAGAAAGCTGAAACCTAAACATTTGAAATCCATGGGTGTATTAATACATAGAAACGTTATGAGCTTTACGACCGAAAGGAGCCTAAAAAGCATAGCCAAATTTGTCTAAAGTCATAACAGACTTGGGATATTTGCTATTATATTTCATCTTCTATGCGTGTTAAACATAGATTTTTTCGTTTCATTTTCAAGGCTAAATTAACATATAATTCCTCCTTTCGTTTTTTTTATTCTGGAAAGTACGTCGATATTATTTGTACCATATTGCGTGGGTAGATATCATTTTTTGTGGTTTCCTTGTTGTCATTGTGAATCAAATTACATCGTCAAACAAGATTGTACCCATATAAATCAATGAAGAGTTAAGCCATAAAATGACCCATTCAATCAAGTAGTGTAAATTCGTTCAATGGTCCGAATAAATTCAGATAATAAGACATTTAAATAAAAAAAGTATTCAGGAAAATGACTCAATTAGCTCCTTGTATCTAAAAATAGTGTCAAATTTGAAAATTATAGTTTATATTAAAGATACACGAATTTGGACTAAAGAATATTAATAGAAGCAATACATCAAAGATTTTCCCAATTACCTATATTTGTCCTATGTCAATACATACTTTACCATTCTAATTATTGTGCTTTGTTTGTTAAGCAGGGTAATAAAGGATTATTTGTGTTTATATTTCACGCCCGCTCAAAAGACAAATATTTTGTCTCCAAAACACAAAGAAATATACATGATAGTTTTCATTAGAGTGACAATATTTAAACGTGATACTTTTAGAGTCACTAACAATAAAAAGTCAAGGTACTTTCGGTGCTTTTATAAATTTCCTGACTTTCAGCCGAGCATTCCCTTTAGATGATGGTATGTATAATATAAACAGTAATTCATCTCACATTTGGTATTGACTTTTAGTTGAACAAAATTATTTAAGAATCAAAATGGTTCATCAGATCGACCAAAAAAGTGTTTCAGAAAATTCGATTATGTAATCTATGTCATTTGTTTCTCTAACTTTGTCTATGGAAATATTATATAATACTTTTCTATGCTTTGACTATGTCAACGAAAATATGCATTCTAGTACTCGGTTTGTTTGAAAACGATAATCAATAAGTTTGCTAAAACTCTGTTATTCAGATGTTTGAAATGATTTCTAATTTCTTGAGATAAATTGTACAAAATAAAATAAAAATAATCTGTTTTATATGGTATATGGACTTGTGTGTGTATGTGGGGGTGGGGTGGGATTTTTATTGGAGGTTGAATTCAAATAAGATACAGAATTCCCTTGTATTTATTCAACTGTAAAGTCAATTCTGAATTTATGAAAAACTACATGTAACTGTAACGAGAATGTTAAATATCCCAATTATTGTTACCACGTAAATGAATAATGTAAATTTGATCGAAAAAACTTTTATTCGATTTTCCGCGGTTTTGACATCTTTTCTTTACATCTGATAATGTATTACAAACAATTTAGTTTTACACTCCAAACTCTTTAATGTCATGGTAATATATGACAGTCGTTTCACTATAGCAATGAGTGTGTTTAGTATTGAACAGAATAGTCATGAGGCATTACTTAACTTTATCGGCCCGGTAAATGTACTTGCGCATGCAGAGGGTAAATATAGATAAAAAATCTTTACAAACTTAGTAATATAACATTGTCACCATTTTCGGTGTCTTCAATTTAATTATGAAACAGAGTTCATAGATTGTTAATATGACTTTATTTGGCTTATTTTGGTATAACGGGAAGTCCTTCTAAGTAAATTTTGATAAAACTGTCTTTAATTACCATTAAAGAGATTTGAAAGTATTGTTAGACACTACGAAACTATATGCTAAATACGTGTACGTAAACATTTGATAAAGGAATTTGACTAGTTGAATATAGAAACCAAATAAAAAAACGCTCTCTCCCTCTTTTTAAATTGTTGGGAAAAGTTGAATTAATATTCAACTGTAAAACTGCAATTGTAATTAACTATTATTAACTTTGGTCAACCACTAAATCAACCGCATATTATACCTATTTCGCTGCAAGACCAATCTCTAATCTCTAAAAGTCTGACCATGTATGACACTAAATGTGTTTAACAAAGTGTATTATATCTGTAAACATAGTAATTTGTATCATAAAAAGTGTCAAAATTTGACAAATAAAAATTATCCCAATCCACATAAGTGTGGAAATACAGGCTAATCTCTTAATCCTGATAGTAGTTTATTTAGCATGTACGTAGCTTAGTTATATTTTATTAATCCGTTTTAACGGTGATTTTAAACAAGTTTTATCACGAGTTTCTATTTAAATCAGTTAAAGATGTTTGCTTTAAGTTTAACCTTTCAATCAGTGATTACTAAAGGGCGGTGACTAATTTTAGATGGAATACAGATTGCACTTGTATTTGATCATATTTAAAGTTGTTTAGAGACCATGCCTTCCGTAAACAAATCGTAGACGATATGATATGAACACGTTGTGTAATAAAATCTCGAGCATTTAACGTCATTCAGATATTGGATATTTTATAGATACTTAAATCAATTACCCTGTATGATAAAAATTCACCAGGTGATATATTTCAGATTTACAAGGTACGTACCGTTTTCTTATAATTTTAAAACTTTGATTTTGATTTTTTTTTTTGTCGTTTTGAATCTCGTTTCGCTAGGATTTTCATGATTATGAGAAGAAGAAGATGTTTTATTTCCATTAAATGGGCTCACAAGGAGCATAATACAATATAAGACATTAATAAGACAATAACAAAAAGAAGCAACCATAGTCTAGTATATATACAAAGAAAAGAAAAAGCAGTTTGAACATTATATAAAATTAACTTTAATCGTCCAGAAACGAATAAGCTATAGTTGAAAATGTTATACAGTGAAAAATATTTATTTATTGTCTTTTTTAATATTTCACTTATACGGCATGTTCTTGATAGTAATTCATTATTTAGAAAGATGTAAGATATATGAGTGTAACTAGTGTTTATGCCTTATGAATAATTTAGTGACAGTTTCTTTTCAATTTGAAATAAAATCCGTTCTGATTCTCTGGTTGCTAGAAACGAATAGTTTAAAGTTACAATTATTTGACATTAATTTTGATCAATATTAGTATATATATTGTGCAACCGAAGCATGTATATGAATGAAAATTAACTATCAAAGTGTTAATGCACGTTGCTAAACTGTTATTTTTTATCTCTGCATACAATGCGTTGTGCAAGCAGGTTATTTAGGTTATTGATAAAACCAATTTAAATAAAAAATACATTATTCTCATGTATCTTATTGAACTTGAAATTAAGGATATTAGATACTACCGATACGTGCAATTAAGGTTATTATACAATAACATGACAAAATATCTATACCATCCCCTAAAAATTGACACTGATGAACAACTTAAACGCAATGTTTTTTGACAAATTTAATAACTAGTTTTTCTATTGACAACTACTGCTGGAATAACGACATATTTACCCTTTCCCAAAGCCGATAGGAGTCGTTTTCTTTTAAATGGGAGAGTTCTCTTATTTCAACTTCTTCAAAAATTATAACAAGGAACATGTCTTCAACCATAACTTTACAAGTTCTGTAACCACAAAAACTAATTGGTTGGTCGTAACATTGTTTCACCTTACTCTAAACACATGTTTAACTATCGTAAATGCTACATGTATTTCTTAATATGACCGTTTGGTTGTGATATTTGCTACTGGACATGGCTGTTGAATCTTAGGTTAAGTGATGGCGGCATGCATAACATTAGATGTTTATCCTGTGTAATGGGCGCATTATAAAAGATGATCACCCTGTGTAATGAACTCATATCATTATTTGTTTACCCTATGTAATTCACGCATAACATGAGATGTTTACCCTGTGTAATGCACACATAACATGAGATGTTACTCTGAGTAATGCACGCATAACACGAAATCTTTATCCTGTGTAATGCACGCATAACATGAGACGTTTACTCTGTGTAATGCATGCATAACATGAGATGTTTAACTTGTGTAATGCACACATATAACATGAGACGTTTACCCAGTGTAATGCACACATATAACATGAGACGTTTACCCTGTGTAATGCACACATATAACATGAGACGTTTACCCTGTGTAATGCACACATATAACATGAGACGTTTACCTAATGCACACATATAACATGAGATGTTTACCCTGTGTAATGCACACATATAACATGAGATGTTTACCCTGTGTAATGCACACATAACTTGAGATGATGTTTCCTACATAATTCCAATTGTTTCCACATTCATTTTGGCTATTTGTATCTTGACGTTTGATATTTCATCTGAAATCTAAACACTTCCTTGATGTGTACTAACACAAAAATTGACAAAAGGAAAACGATATATCATTAAAACATTAGAAAAATTTAGTTGATATGGTACAATTACTATGCTGGATTTCCAGCTGAAATTTCACTTTATACTTTTCAATTATTAAAATTACTACAGTTTACAATAACTTGTGCATCATTCAATTATTCCCTTTTATTCCTCTTTTTACTATAACAAAAATATTGAGTTTCTCTTTCATTCTATAGTCAACATACTCTGGTTTCGTCACAAGTTTGTTTAAGATATGCAAATTTTCAAATCTTGTTTACAAATCAAATATCATGTTATCCATTTGTAAAGGATTGAAATCTTTAAATATTTTTATGATGATGCAAGGTCACTTTTGCTGAAGATTAACATAAATCATTGCAATCCCATTTATAAGGATATCTGGTCTGATATTTATTATTCAACAGCCATTAACACCTTCGTAGTATGTTCAAAACTTCTGTCAAACAAGAGGTAACTGTCAAATTTCATTAAATGATGTAGCGCAACCATTTAAATATATTAATGGGTTTCATATGAATTCGTTAACCCTATATTAACCCCATGTATTGTACACAATTTACAATAGTTCGATCAAAATGTTTGATTTCTGTCAATAAGTGTAGATTTCAATCAGTTTGGAATCGATTACTTGAGTTGATAAACTTATAATAAGATGACCTTCAAATTTTAGGCATTATTGGTGGTAATTGCATTTGAGAATTACTTTGGGGATTTTTTTTTTATTTCTTTGCAAAATGACGTTAATGCTTGTTTGTAACAAAATGAAGTATTGTTGCTCTCCTTTAATTTCATATTCAAAAATATTCTGTCAGTGATTCTTAAGATTGTTATTGATATTAAATCGTTTCGAATCTTAATGTTTTGCAAAGTAAAATCAGTAAAGGAAAATGTACAATGTAATTCTTGTATTTTAATGACGTACGTTATGAAGGTTAATAGGCTTTAAAGCTTCAAACTATATTTTCAAACTGCAAACCATTTACATAGATACAGAATATAGAATATTTTGTAGTGACAATTCTAATAGTTTTGAAATGTAGTGACAATTCTAATAGTTTTGAAATGCTCATCATTGTTAACCATTATAAAAGTTGACTATAATATAGAAATATGGACACCTTGACTTATCCTGTCCAGCAGTAAAACCCATGCTTAGAGGTTGCCCGTTTGGTCATGCGGGGTATATAATAATTGCACAGATACGTGACGTTGAATCCGATGCCTACTGTGAGGAGAATACAATTGTATACCATAAAACCCCCTTACATTATACTTTCAAGGGTCTGTACGTAGCCTACATGTTGCAAGGTAACACTTCTGCTCCTATCCCACACAATTACCATCTTTGTCTAGCGAGGGCCTAAATGTCCAGGTCCTCGTCCAGGTATTCCAACTTTAAAGATTCTTTTTCTTGTCCTGAATATGCATGAAATGGTTGCAAATGGACGTTAATTAATAAAGCAAACAACTATCTCAATAAAATCATTCATCGTTTTAAAAATAAGAATCAGATGAATAGAATAGACATTAAGAGCTATCTGATTGAAAAAGGGATTGATTTTTTTCTTCTTGACCTTTAATACAGTTAACTGTCGTAACAAGAAAAATGAATGAAATATTTTTCAATCATTATGTCAAAAATACGTTTAAGATAGGGTCCTCATTAGAGAGATAATAAGGTAATGTTTACGCAAACAGTATACGACTTAAAAGCTCAAATGCATTGACTGGAAAATTACCTATATATTACATATACATTATGAAAAATTTGTAACAGTGGATGGCGCTCCTTCTTAAAATTTAAATTCCTAAAGGAAATGGATCAAACGATTACTTCAAACATTATCTAATAATGCGGAAATTATCAAATTATTAGAAAATTGTCAACAATTTCATAATATTGCCTTTTCTTCCAGTCACATACACTGCGTTTCTTATTTAAGTGAAGAAATGTTGAGTCATTGTCTGAAAAAGAGCCAAAATTGCATAATTCGAAAAATATCAATGGAGAAATGAAATAAAAGAAAAAGTTTTAATTATTTTCAAAATATCCTAACTATATATAAAATACCTAAAAATGATCACAATAATTACCCCCCAAAAAAATTTAAAACTGCAACAGACCCCACCAACACCCAACACCTCCGAGGAAATAGACGTTCAAACATAGACACAAAAAAAGAACAACACATGGGCCAGACAACCTGACCTGGTACATGCATAAAAAGTAGTGGGATTACCCAGTTTATGTGCGCACACATTTCCTCTCCATTTGCATGTCGAGACAATATGTCGGTTTAGTACAGCACACAACTAAACACATGTACAGTCAAGCTATACTAACAGTAACAGGACGACGATTAAGTAGAACAAGGAACATAATTTGGAATACAGGGTCAAAAATGGTCTCGTTACTAAATGAGACTAGCCAAGGCAGCCTCAACTGTTGTTATGGCTTTTTCAACCATTCAAAATTGACATTTAGAATTCATTATATTATATAACTAAGACTGTTTTGTTTTTTTTATATTTGAGGAACAATATATGAAAATGTTAAAAATATACGAATTACAACTTGACTGGCCTGTATTCAATGTCTTTATATCATTCCAAGAGGCAACTAATACTTTTTCTTGTAATCGACATAAATGACGTTCAGATTTCACCAAAATTTACATATTCATATTCATATTCAAGAATAGTTTGTTTGCAAATTAAAACCTGTATGATATACATCAAATAATCTGCATTTGTATCGTTGTGTTGTTCTTTCAAACCTAATTTGGCCAATATCTGCATGATAATGCTGCATTATTTTTGTGGCTGTTGGCTGTTAAAAATCGGTAGCTTAAAAAATGTTGTAGACATATCACCATATATGTTAACTTATATCTTGGATATTGATTGAAAGATGAAACATTATCTCAGTTGAAAACATAAAGATTCCATTGCAACTATTCTTTTGGGAGTCTTTAGTGAACAATTGTAAAATATCCGCCTCGAGCGGCATTCCGTGCAAATTTCTCGCTCTAATTCCTGTCAATACACATTGGATTAAGTAATTTTTCATGACCTTTGTTTTTGTCCTGAATGTGCATAAAAATTTCCCACATGATGTTTAGTAAACAGCAGTCAATGATTAGAAAACAGAGAAAAATGTTAAATCAAACAGTTATCCTAAAGATTCCAACATTCC